AACTTCGAGGTACGAGCATTGGTATCTCGGTTTATTTATAATAACTACGATTAATATTATGCATATTTTTAGCTCGTACACTGAGAATTTCAAATTCACAATAAAAAAATTAAAATAATATCTTTAAATTGCTGAGCTGGATATTATTTATTTGGATCTTTCAATTGGCTCGATTTTCCTAATTCAATGTTAATTAGCGCTGATCAATATTGTTGCATGAATATAATTGGATTAAATATTTAAGAAACCAGGGTCGGACTTGAAAATATTTTAAAAAATCTTTATAAATAGTTTTTGTTGTTGTTAAGATTTACCCAAACAAACAAAAACTATAAAAGTGTGTCATATCGTTGAACTCAGGAGACCGAGTTCTTTCAAAAACTGAAATAAAAATGCAGGTCCGTATTTAAAAAAATGAAGTTAGCCTCTGTATCTCACAAATTATCAAGTTAATTTGAAAATCTAAAATACGTCATCAGATAGCCCTAATAAAGTGGCTATGAGAATATGCAATTAGTTTTTGATTTTCTAAAAAAGTAACGACAGGAAAAAATAAAATTGATTTTCAAAAAATCGTTTTCCAAAAACTCAGCAATCCTTGAAATTTTAAAAATTTTTGATAGCATCTTGGTGAACATCCCAAGGCACTACTTTGCCCCAATTTAACCATCTTCGTATCTATTACGGGTTTCGAGATACAAATGCTCGTACCTCGAATTTGTAGCACCCCTGTATATTAATAAATAAAATATATTTCTTTGTTATGGTCATTTTGTTTTTGTAGATTTGGGCCGGTTGCCTGTTATTCCCAGGCCGGTTTCCACTTCCCCATCCACCCCTGAATCTTATCCGATGGTCAAGCAGCATTAAAATGATCAATTCAGTAACCATCAATTCGCAGCTGGTCAATGAATGCATAGGTAGCTGCAACAAATTAATAAAAAGAAAATAAAGCCACTCCTACCTGGATGCCAGGCCACGAAAAGATAGAAGGCATGGGCGCCGGAAGAATGAAATTTAGGGAGGGGGGGCAAGGTAAAAATGAAAAAATTGACATTTTGGTGGTATTGGGAAAAACTGAAATCGTCCGATTTTCACCAAAATAATGGTATACACCCTATTTTGAAGTCGTAGATTACGAATCTGAACTTTTTCTTGGCGGTCTCTTACCGTTTATCAGAAATACGGAAAATAATTTCAATATCGAAGATTTTCTTAATTTCTCATATTTTTAAAGTTTTCTAGCACATATTTTGTTAGGTATTCAATAATCAATAATGTTTTTGCTATTTTCTGTTACTTTTAACCAATTCTATGCATAATAGAGAAAATTTTGCTAAAATAAATTTGTATACAATCTGAAAATGTTAGGTTATAGCTTTGTTCGGGTTCTTAGTTATTACCGATTCAGAATCGTCCAAGAACTCTGCAGCGCATACGCAAATGAAATAATGTCTTCATATTTCCTTCTGCGCATACGCATCACAGTTCTAGGACGGTTCAGAATCGGTAATAAGCAGAAACCCGAAGTAAACTTATGTGTTTCTGGCATTTAAAGCAACGCTGCCAATGCTAAACCTAAATTTAGCGTGTTTTTCCCTCATTCTGGAATTAAGAAAGGCGGTCGCCTGAAGAACGGCTCCTTCCCACTTAACTGATATTTTACCAACGAGATCTGACTATTTATACCCACGAAGTTGCACGAAGAGTTTGATTACATTGGTTATTAACTTCCATGCAGAGGGTGTTAATCTTTTGTTGTTATATTATATCCAAAAGATTAACCCCTCCGCAAAAAGTTAAAAACCATGTAATCAAAACTCTTCCACTATATTTTGTGGATATAATTGTATATTTAATTACTGTCGATCTCATAATAGGTAATTTATTTAAAATCCTAATCACTTGAAAAAAATAGAAGATATGGCAACGTTGTAAATTTTCAAATTTCTAGATTAGGTCTAGGAAAAATCTTTTGTCTCTCTTATTACATAGGAGAAAGAAGGATATATCAAATGTCAAACTTCCATCTGGTCTCAATTTTCTTTGCTATTTTGTTAAGAAAAGTGTTTTCAGTAAAATGTTGGACATTTTCTATCCCCAATCAAGTGTGGCTTTTAGATAAACTTTTAGATAATATAATGAAAACATAGTGAAATTATTACTTTATAGGGCCGAAATAAAGAAAAATTCAATGTTGAAATAATTTTCCGTTTTTCTGAAAAACGGTAAGAGACCGCCAAGAAAAAAGTAGATTCGTAATCTACGACCTCAAAATAGTGTGTATACCAATTTGGTGAAAATCGAACGATTTCCAGTTTCCCAATAATTACCACATTTTTTATTATTTTACAGGTAGATAACACCTAAAAATTTCATAATAATGATTATTTTTTTACAGATGGATGTAAGAAGATAGCTTTTATTTTTATTGTTTCAGTGATCCAGGGGGGGGGGGCAAATGCCCCCTCTTGCCTCCCCTGTCCGGCACCCATGATAGGAGGTAATGAAAAAGTAAATGATCTAGCTAGAAAAGGAGCTAACACTCCCCTAACCGGACCAGAACCGTTCTGCTTGCCTGAAGAACCTGGAAGACTCCATTCGTAACCTTGAATGGAACAGTCTGGAACAGAAGACACTCGAAGAGATTTCCCAGAACTTACAAGGGTTGTCACATGGTTTTTAACATGACACTGTCTCCTCACTCCTCAATGAACAACTAGTACAGTAAATTGAAGATAAGAAACAACAGCAAATACAGATTCTGTAGGGAAAATGGAGTTACATCAGAAAATATCATCACTAAGTGCCCCGAGAGGAATAGAGGACCACAATACGTGCTATAAACTTTGGTATATACAAGGGTACAACTGATATCGGAGATGGAGAACTAACCTCTGTAAAACCGTCTCAAATACTGGCTTTTTCCAAAGCTCTGAGACTGTATACTGAGTTATACCCCTGGTTATACCTATAAAAATCAGTGTGAATTATTTCTAAAATTTTAAAATCCTTATCAGAATTTTTTTTAATTAATTCAGGCTATACAAAATAAACAAAAATATATTTCAACACCTAGTTTCTAAAATAGATAATATCACTTTCTATAAAGCAGAAATAAAACACATTTATATTATCTGCACAGATTTTTCTTATTCTATATGGAATTCATTTTATTTTTTAACAATTATTTATTTTATATTTATCCGTGCCATTATTTTTTTAATTTATAAAAATTCCTTCACCATTTTGTCAAGAAAATTGTCATTTAAAATATCAAAGACACTATTACATATTTCTATAAGACTAAAAGTACTATGAATCATTTCTAATGATTAAAAACAAATATTTTGAAGTGATTTTTAACACTAATAAGCTGTAGACAAAGTTAAAACAACAAGTTTTTCAAGTCAACTCTAGCATTCTAGTTCCTGCGATTTAAGATTAAAATTTTTGATTTAAATTATTTTCTTTAAAATTAAGTAATTTTCGTGTCAATATAATGTACCGTATGACCGAAAAAAAAACGGCGATGGCTATGAAATGAACATCGATGACATATAAATTTACATGTATACCATTTACAGACCCATATAAATTTACATATAAAATGACAGCGATCTTCATTTCATAGCCATCGCTGACGCCGTTTTTTTTTCGATCATACGGTAATTTAAATCGTTTATATCACTTACAATCTACAAAAATGAGAAAACGGAACCAGAATTCAATGTCAGATTAGGCAAGAAACCCCCCGTTTCTGTAAAGTGGCTCCACTATCAACTAAATTCCGTGGCTTCTATATGAACTAAATGCATTCCGTAATGTGGCGCCTCAGATATGAAGCGAAGAGTATTTGAACTATTTTTTAAGATGAAATGCAGAAATCTATACTGATTAAAAAATAGAGATGTCTGTAGTTTAGAGACTGATGCTTTTCATTTTGTGGAAATTTTATGGGACGTAATTTGAAAGTTTCGATAGATGCACAATTTACTAATTGTTTGTTAATTTCTAGCTCTTATTAAAAATAATTTAAGCATATTAAAATGCTTATTTCGCCACTTGCCCTATGAGAATATACCCACAGGACATTTTTGAAGAGTTGAATCCGCCTCAGAGGTATAGATTATATATTTTTTACTCTTTTCCGTTGGCAAATTTCGGCGAGGTCAAGCCCTAGACGTCATTTACTTGGCTCGTAGATACTTTTTATTTTTTTAATGGCGTTTACTGTCAGTAGGTTTTAATTTATCTTTATATCGGTGGAGTACAAATTATTTTTAAATTGTGTTTGTAGCTTAAAATTGGAGATAAAATATTTTTTTGGAATTAGAATAGTGTTAATTTTTAGTAAATCACGTTTAGAGATTGGCCTTCCCAAAACTGCTATCGATAGTCATCCTCCAGGCGCTCTGTCGCGGTTTTTTTTTGATCATACGGTGTTATTACTGTTAAAGATACAATATTCGAGGTTTTACCTCTGATTTTACCTCTATATCAAGGTAGATTAGGTAAGAGTATTGATACACAGGGCGTCCCAGAAATAAGTGCAAGTATTTTAACTGGTTGTATAGTTCAACCCCAGAAACACGCCTATAAGGTTTTTTTCGCGAAAAAAAATTTGAAAATTCGAATTTTTTGGAATTTTTTTTAGTTTTTAATTAAAAAACATAATTTCTTGATAATATGGCAACATAGGTATTAGATTAAATCTACTCTGTGAAACAAAATCCTGAAAAGATCCAGTGTTCTCAAAATTTTAGCAAAAATATTTGTTTTGGGAATTTCAAAGTAAAATAACTCGGACTTATTTGAAAACGACAAAGAGGAAATATGTTTCTTTTATCGAGATCTACCACCAAAATAAAAACACTAAAATCACCACAATACACCAAAAACACTTTTTATTTTTACACTGGACGCGCGTTTCGCAATATTTTTTCCTCTAAGAAACTCAACTACCTCACTACCATTTTCATCGACTCTTAAATCGTTGGGTTTTAAATAGTTATATATAGGATAGTCATAATCTTCTGGAGTATAGTGCCCATTTCTAATTTTTTCTAAATTCTCGGGAAGTTTTTTTCTGAAAACCGTTGGTAATTTTGACTCGTCAGCCATCTTGATTCTTCGGACCTATCTAAAAATAAGAAAAAAATATTTATTAGTTCTTCTAGAACTTAATAATTAAAAATTGAGAACTTATGTAATAAAATATTATAGTTAAAATAAAATATTATGGTTAATTATTCTTGAGCCTTTAAAAGTCTATTAGGCTGTACTTTCGCATCGCTCTCAGGGGTTGGGCAAAGCGGGTGTATGGCCGAAGGAAATATATATTAGATATATTTCAGAAATTTTTGAGGCCAAAATTTGATCGGTGGCCATACTTTGGTGACAAGATTTCGAGGTGACACCAAGCGAATTTTTATGTTTTTTGTGAATACTGTTTTGTTTTAAATTTATAAACTGTGTTGTTTAGTATGGTGGGATGTTCAGCCGTATGGTTGCAAAAGCTGAAGCGAGAAAAAAATGACTGGAATTACATTTTACAAGTAAAAGTTGATACACAACTTGTGCTATGTAGTCATAAAATGTACATTTTTTTCATTGTACCAGTAAAAATATGTAAAATGCTTTTAATATGTCTTGTATAACACCCAAAGCCAACTATTTTTATTAATTCCAAGTAGAATTTTTATGTTTTTTGTGAATACTGTTTTGTTTTAAATTTATAAACTGTGTTGTTTAGTATGGTGGGATGTTCAGCCGTATGGTTGCAAAAGCTGAAGCGAGAAAAAAACGACTGGAATTACATTTTACAGGTAAAAGTTGATACACAACTTGTGCTATGTAGTCATAAAATGTACATTTTTTTCATTATACCAGTAAAAATATGTAAAATGCTTTTAATATGTCTTGTATAACATCCAAAGCCAACTATTTTTATTAATTCCAAGTAGTATTTTCAATATCCTATATTATAATTAATTAATGTTTGAAACTATAAATAATGCTACTCAGACAGGATTTCTCCAGGGGCGTTGGGTATTATAATCAGAGAAATACAATTTCTGCTATAAACATTTTTTTATATATTTTACATGTAAAAAAATGTATAAAGTATTGTTATCAAATATGTAAAATAATAATTGTAAACTATGAAGAAAACATGAAAAATTTTGGATATAAAAAATCTATATGTATAGTTGTTACATAAAACTTAAATTTACCTGCTAACTGCCAAGATTTGCTCGGGGTGGACAAACTTGTGGTGGGGTACTTGTTACAATATAATGTTTTTAATAAATAATAAATAATGTTTTTTTTAAATATCCTTTCAAAAAATTTGCTAGTTTAGGTGTATAATAAATAATAGTTTCAGTGAGTAATTAATAAAAATTTAAAAATAAATAAATAAAATAACACAAAGCTTCTAGAATTGTTTTTTTTTGCGGAAAATTCGGATATACTTATAATTGAAGGCAACAAATATTAAAAATTACATTATTCATTGAATCCGTAGGCAAGTGTGAAGGGGATTGCCTAGATTCATTATTATACCGTATGATCGAAAAAAAACGGCGTCCAGTTGGCTTGTAAATGACTGTCGATGACATTCCTCTCAGTCTTTTTTCGATGTCATTTTATATAGTTTTTATGTCATTTTATATGTAGAATTATATGGGGAATGTCATCGATCGTCATTTCCAAACAAACAGGATGCCGTTATTTTTCGATCATACGGTATTTCAAAATTGTGTTATATATTGGGTATATATGAAAAAGAAAGAAATTGTGAGGGAAATGTATAAAAAAGAAGAAAAAACATTAAACGGCTCAGCCCTCAACAACTCGTAACCGTATACACCAGTGTACACCAGTGCAGACACGCACACTCACACTCACACAACCACACCTACACTAGTGCACACTGATGTAACTGCCTTCAGGCTTCATCAGTACGGTAAGGAATCAGGAAGCGAAGAAACCGATCCCAAAACACAAAAAAACCAGGAAGCAAACGATGCAACGAGGCACCGTGTGCAATCCTGGTTGTTACGCCACTGGCTTAGCCCGATTCTGTCGTGTTAAGCCACACTTAAAATTCCAAACACACGTGTTTTGATTAAGGCTTGATTAAGGTTTGTAGAGCTTTAGCATTTGTCATAAAATAGTGAGCAATTTGTTACAAAACCATATAAATTATATATCACTGTAATCACTAAATTTCAATCTATTTCCGTATTGTAACGGAATTTTAAATTATGTCTTTATTTTCGAGAAAATTTAGTTCAAACATAAGGAATATTTTGTTGATGTTTGACCATCAAAATCTTAAAAATAAAGAAGCTGCCTAAAAATGTACTACAATACTGATATAGTATAATCCTTTATCTTTAATTTCCTTCTTAATTTGTGTAAAAATACCTGGCCAGTTTTACATAAAACTTTAAATGCCGAACGCTTATTTTGCTACTTTTTCGGACTAGTGATATTGGATTCTTAATATTTTGATTGAAAAATATAATATTTTGCACAAGTTCAGAAAAAATTATAATACTCATAATCATTGTAAGACAATAGCAATGTTTTGAAATATTCAAAAGTATCAAAACGATGCTAATTTAATTTAAAAAAATGCAGTTTACGCATGCAGTGATTATAATTATTGTTTTCACGACCTTTAAATCAAAAATTATTGTTAATATGATGCTTTTTTTGAATTCGAATATACTTAAAATTAACCTAGTAAACCGAAAAAGTTATTTTTAAATTCGATTTTTAAAAACAATTAGATTTTATTTAAATATATACATATATGACGGTGATCGAAAAAAAAACGGCGTCAAAGATAGCTGGCAAATGAAAATCGATTATAATACTTGTCAAAAATTAACGCTAATTTAGAAAGTTTAAAAAAAGATATTTTTTTAATCTTTTTTTTACAATATATTTTTCTCCAATTTCAAACTACACCATTGAAAAATTATTTTTTCTTAATATAAAAATAAATTACAAGCTTCTTAAGGCTCACTGGCAGTAAGCGCCATTAAAAATAGAGTACGAGCTAAGTAAATGGAGTCTAGGGCTTGACCTTGGCAAAATTACCATCGATTGTCATTCTCCAGCCGTTTTTGACGCCGTTTTTTTCGATTGTATATACAGAGAATGCTTGCACGTACTATCTTTATTGTTTGACTAATACCACACTAATGATAAGTAAAAATACAAGTTATGTAATCGTATTTATTTGTGAGATTTTGCTCTTTATAACAGTCGCTTTTTTGTAAACCTGAGTACTACGATAGAAAGAAGGAGTCATTAGAGAAATCCAGTGTTTTATTTGGAAAATGCGGGCTACATTCTGATATCAGAAGTGGGATCGACCTACGAAAAGTACCAAAACAGTTTTAAAACGTGCCGATATGGGTTGTGTGTGAATCCATGAGTGCTGGAAAAGGAAATAAAACCATAACCCAACAAGTCCAGAAGTGTTAGTGAATATAAAAACTGATTCAGGAAAATTTGAAAACTGGCTAGTACTACTTCAAAAAATAGAAAAATAGCCAAGGCTGTTACGATGTGTGCAAGATGCAAACTACAAGACATCTCTGCTAAAATAGATCTTTTGAGTGGCCATTTTGATGTAAAATCATAAGCAGTGAGAAAGTGAAACTTTGGAGAATACATTTGAACAAGATAAGTATACACAGGTATCAATCAAGTTACGAATATAAAAGTTTTATCTCCTGCTAAGTTATCTGAATCATTTTTTAGATCTTATTTTAAGTGAATCAATAATTAGAACAATATAACAGTTTAAAATATCACCGGGGAGCAAGGAAGGAGACTCCACGTGTGTATTTTCTCAGCAGCCAAACAATAAGCTAGAAAATGCCGGCGCTCCCTGGTAACGATGCCCGCAAGGACATCGGCCAATCCTTCCACCACCGGAACCCAATGCAAGGAGCTAAGAACAGAAACAAAAGGCACTTCTCAGAGCTATCTCTGACATTTGCTAGCCTGAACGTCGAAGGATTTACCCGGAACAAACAAGACCTGATCTCCCAACTATGCCAAATTCACAAATGGGACATATTATGCCTACAGGAAACGCATAGGGATGAACAAGCGCACAGGCCTAAAATAGAAGGAATGCGACTCGCTATCGAGACACCACACAACAAATACGGCAGTGCAATCTTCGTCAAGCCCGACAGGTTTTATCGGCTGTATGGGCGGACTTTACCGAGGAATTGGATAAGGCAATCAAAAAGGTCGACGCTACACCTAATCACTACACGGACTTTGTGGACACCCTGCGCAAAGTATCAAGAAAACATTTTCCAAGAGGTTGTAAACAAAACTGTATCCCAGGGCTGACTAGTAACACGAAGGACATACTAACCAAATATGAAGAGCTATATTCCAAGGACCCCTTTAGTGATGAAACAATAACATGCGGAACAACTCTGATGACCACACTTAGCGAGACAAGACAAAAAAAGTGGATAGAGTCCCTAGAAAGGGTGGACATGAAACACAGCAGTAAGATAGCATGGAACCCCATCAAGAAACTTGATGGTGTCCCCAAACAAACCCAAGAACCATCCAAAGTAACAGCCAATCAAGTAGCCCACCAACTCCTCCTAAATGGAAAGCCAACGACAAAAGGTCAGAAAGCACGACTGCATCGAGATATCCGCAGTGAAAATAGATATTTTGGTTCTCCTTTTACAATAAAGGAACTGAACGATGGCATAAATACGCTGAAAAACGGAAAAGCTGCCGGAGTCGATGATATGCGCGTCGAACAAATCAAACATTTTGGGCCAGACACAAAAGAATGGCTCTTACAACTCTTCAACCACTGCCGAGAGAATTTCAGGACACCAAAGCTATGGAAAAAGTTAGAAGTAGTTGCCCTCCTAAAACCAGGGAAAGATCCCAACTCTGCGAACAGCTACAGACCAATCTCGCTGCTGTGTCATCTATTTAAACTATATGAAAGACTGATACTAAACCGAATTAGCAACGTCGTCGATTCAAAAATCATACCCCAACAGGCTGGCTTCAAACCTGGTAAATCATGCACCAATCAAGTCTTAGCGCTGACAGAGCATATAGAAAAGGGATATGAAAACAAAGTAATTACGGGGCTGGTCCTCGTCGACCTAACCGCTGCCTATGACACCGTCAACCACAGCAAAATGCTGTCAAAAGTATATAACACAACAGGAGACTACCAATTAATGAAGATAATAGAATCACTCCAGCAAAACCGTCAATTCTATGTCACCCTTGAAGGGAAAAAATCCGCTGGAGATACCAAAGAAACGGCCGAGCCCAGGGAAGCGTGCTGGCTCCGATTTTGTTTAATATCTACACCAACGACCAACCAGCACCGGAAGACACAAAACACTTTGTATACGCTGATGACCTGGGTATTACGGCTCAAGGAAGAACCTTTGAAGAGGTTGAAGCAAGGTTAGAGAGCGCTTTAAACGCCATATCTGCCTACTATGAACTGAACTTCTTAAAACCAAATCCTTCCAAAATACAGGTCTGTGCATTCCACCTTCACACACGACTAGCAAACCGCAAACTTAAGGTCGCTTGGAACGGAGAGACCCTTGAACACACAAATAAACCTGTGTACCTTGGAGTCACACTCGACAGATCTCTAACCTACAAACACTACTGCGAAAAAAACCGTCAAAAAGTGGCTGCGAGGAACAATATATTAAGAAAACGGACCCACAGTAAGCGCTAAACCTGATGTCCTAAGAACGACGGCACAAGCGCTATGTTTCTCCACAGCCGAATACGCCTGCCATGTCTGGTCAAGATCGGCGCATGCCAAAAAGGTCGATGTAAGCCTCAACGAAACTTAGACTTATGACAGCGTACAACTTATCTTAGATAGGAACTATCGGAAACAAGAAATAGCCATCTTATCTGATAGTCAAGCAGCGTTAAAGGCGATCAACTCAGTATCAATCAATTCGAAATTGGTCAAAGAATGCATAGAGAAGCTGAATAAATTAGGCAAAGAAAACAAAGTCCTCTCTACACTGGGTGCCTGCTCACCAAGGGATAGAAGGCAATGAAAAAAGCAAATAATCTAGCTAGGAAAGGAGCGAACACTCCAACTAACTGGACCAGAACCGTTCTGCTTGCCAAGTGGTAACCAACTCAAGGCGGAACTCAAGAACTTGGAAGATTCCATCCGCAACCTGAATGGAAATCTTGCAATGGTCTAAGACACTCGAAGAAGTTTCTGAGGGCTTATGATCAAGAAAAATCACAGATCTTCCTGGGTCTGAGTAAGAACAATCTTCGGATTGTCACGGGGTTTTTAACAGGACACTGTTTCCTCAATGAACATCTCAGTAGATTGAAAACTAAGAAGAAACGGCGAATGCAGATTCTGTGGGGAAGATGGTGAAACACCAGTACACCTCATCACTGAGTGCCGAGACGACAACCATTCGTGCCATGAATTTTGGTACGACTGGATATTGGAGATGGAGAACTACCTTTCTATAAAACCGTCCCAGATACTGGCTTTTGTCAAAGCCCTGGGACTGTATGAGTTTTTGATTCAAGAAAGGGGGACACAATGGATCTGTAAGGTCGAAGTGATTAACCCCCCTCCCACTCATTCTAAATTCTCATTCTAAAAGCCTCAACGAAAACTTGTAGACTTATGACAGGGTGCATGAAGGTTGCTTCGCTGGATAAACTGTACCAAGCAGCAGGTTTTCACAGTCCTAACTCACGTAGGGAGGCACATGAATTCAGCGAGAAGTTTAAAAAAACATTCGACAATCGTCATCCACTTTTCGGGCAATACCAAGAATCTAAAAGACTAAAATCCAGACGACGATTTCTCAGCAGCCCCCTGGATGAACCACCCACAAACTATCCTCTGTCAGAAAGCCTGCCGAGTGGTGCCTCGTTCAACTTTAAAACCCGGAGAATGTTGAACCGCATAAGAACAGGAGTTGCTCCGGTAAAAACCAATCTGATCAGATGGGGCCTTGCGCAACCAAATGACGACAAATGCGACTGTGGGATGATACAAGATATGGAACACCTTCTAAAGTGCGTTAATTGTCCTGCACATTGTAACTCCGACGATTTATCCCAAAGCAAACCCGAAGCATTGGACGTGGCTCAATATTGGGCCGAGAAAATATAGAATGTTCCGGACACGAAAAAGTAAAGAAAGTAAGTAAAATATCACCAATCAATTCAGTTCATGAAGTTAATTAAAATTCAGCAACAATCTATCAAAGAAGGAAAACAAAACTATATTACCATAGAAACAACACGTTTTGATTTTTAGGACTTGGAAAAAATCCAACTATATTTTCATGCTTTTTTTAATTTTCTCTAAAACGGTACGGAAATTTAGAAAAGTATAAAAAGGATTAACCATTTTAGAACAAGCAAACATTTTTATGAAGCATTTTCAGAATGCGTTTTTCTCAAAATCTCAATAATAAAAAAGTTTTTCCTCTTGTAAAGACTATCCGGGGACATATATTAGCTAATTTAGAAATCTAAAAATACTATCAGATAGTTCTGATGAGGTAGCTATGAGAGTGTGCAATTAGTTTTTGGATTTTCTAAAAAATAACGACAGGAAAAAAATAAATGTTTGTAAAATTTTTCTTTTAACCTAAAATTTTTACAAAAATATTTTACCTGTAGAGCACTTTTAGTAGAACAACAGTGATACGAAAGATAATAGTTGTTTCTGCAGTAATAACCCTACTCACTAAAACGAGTAAACTATATGCATTCCTTTCAATGTAAATTAAAAATGTATCTGCTTTAATAAATTTTTAAATAAGCATTCAATTGCATTTTCCATTAATTAAACGTAAAAAAAAACGGATAATACTGTTTTTACGTAATTGGCGTATTGTAGTCTAAAAAAAATAACGTGCGTTATGATGCTTCTAAAACAAAGAAGGGACAGGGATAGTAGTATTTTAACATGCGTACAATTTATCTCGGATAGGAACTATCGGAAACAAGAAATAGCCATCTTATATTGCCTAGGTTTTCTTCATCTGAGTCATGACTGATATTTAAGTCTGATAATACCATGGTATTATCATACAAGATGCCAAATGTAGAAACGAGAAAAACTTACGCATTGAAAATTATACCAAAAATTAAAACACGTATACACGACGAGGCTGCTGCTATACCTGAAAATAAATTTCTTTTTACATTGTATAAGAAAGTATATACCTGAAAAGCTAATAACAGTGTATTTCACAGAGGATTGGGCTGTGATTGGGCCAGCTGGACTGAGTCAATCAGGAAGTCTTTAAGTTTCTCAAAATCGTAGCCTATTCAAGATCAAATTACCGTTATCGATAATGGAAATAAAACAGTAGAACCCTGTGAAAGTGAGCCATTTTTTTTTAGTAAAAATTCAGATGACCGACCCTTTGATATATTGATCTTTATAAAATTTCGATCAAGACAATTTCAATTTTTTTAAAAAACAAGGAGGCAAAAGAGTTTTTTTTCTCGAGCAAAAATCACCCCTTTACTTATACATGGTGCTACAACTTCGAGGTACGAGCATTGGTATCTCGGTTTATTTATAATAACTACGATTAATATTATGCATATTTTTAGCTCGTACACTGAGAATTTCAAATTCACAATAAAAAAATTAAAATAATATCTTTAAATTGCTGAGCTGGATATTATTTATTTGGATCTTTCAATTGGCTCGATTTTCCTAATTCAATGTTAATTAGCGCTGATCAATATTGTTGCAATGAATATAATTGGATTAAATATTTTAAGAAACCAGGGTCGGACTTGAAAATATTTTAAAAAATCATTATAAATAGTTTTGTTGTTGTTAAGGTACCCAAAACAAAAAAAAAACTATAAAGTGTGTCATATCGTTGAACTCAGGAGACCGAGTTCTTTCAAAAACTGAAATAAAAAATGCAGGTCCGTATTTAAAAAAATGAAGTTAGCCTCTGTATCTCACAAATTATCAGTTAATTTGAAAATCTAAAAATACTGTCAGATAGCCCTAATAAAGTGGCTATAGAATATGCAATTAGTTTTTTGATTTTCTAAAAAGTAACGACAGGAAAAAATAAAATTGATTTTCAAAAAAATTCGTTTTTCCAAAAAACTCAGCAATCCTTGAAATTTTAAAAAAAATTTTGATAGCATCTTGGTGAACATCCCAAGGCACAACTTTGCCCCAATTTAACCATCTTCGTATCTATTACGGTTTCCGAGATACCAATGCTCGTACCTCGAATTTGTAGCACCCTGTATATTAATAAATAAAATATATTTCTTCGTTATGGTCATTTTGTTTTTGTAGATTTGGGCCGGTTGCCTGTTATTCCAGGGCCGGTTTCCACTTCCCCATCCACCCCTGAATCTTATCCGATGGTCAAGCAGCATTAAAAATGATCAATTCAGTAACCATCAATTCGCAGCTGGTCAATGAATGCATAGATAAGCTGCAACAAATTAGCCAAAGAAAATAAAGCTCTCCTACCTGGATGCCAGGCCACGAAAAGATAGAAGGCATGGGCGCCGGAAAAATGAAATTTAGGGGGGGCAAGGTAAAAATGAATAAAAAATTGACATTTTTGGTAATTATTGGGAAAACTGGAAATCGTCCGATTTTCACCAAAATTGGTATACACCCTATTTTGAAGTCGTAGATTACGAATCTGAACGTTACGAATCTTTTTTCTTGGCGGTCTCTTACCGTTTTTGAGAAAAACGGAAAATAATTTCAATATCGAATTTTTCTTAATTTCTCATATGTTTAAGGTTTTCTAGCACATATTTTGTTAGGTATTCAATAATCAATAATGTTTTTGCTCTTTTCTGTTACTTTTTTAACCAATTCTATGCATAATAGAGGAAAATTTGTTAAAATAAATTTGTAAACAATCTGAAAATGTTAGATTATGGCTTTGTTCGGGTTCTTGTTATTACCGATTCTGAACCGTCCAAGAACTCTGCAGCGCATGCGCAAATGAAGTAATGTCTTCATATTTCCTTCTGCGCATACACATCACAGTTCTAGGACGGTTCAGAATCGGTAATAAGAGAAACCCGAAGTAAGTTTATGTCTTTCTGGCATTTAAAGCAACGTTGCCAATGTTAAACCTAAATTTAGCGTGTTTTTTTCGCTCATTCTGGAATTACGAAAGGCGGTCGCCAGAAGAACGGCTCCTTCCCATAACTGCTATTTTACCAACGAGATCTGACTATTTATACCCACGAAGTTGCACGAAAAAGTTTTGATTGCATTGGTTACAACTTCCATGCAGAGGGTGTTAATCTTTTGTTGTTATATTATTAGATTAACTAAGAAAAGATTAACCTCCTCCGCAAAGAAGTTAAAACCAATGCAATCAAAACTTTTCCGCGTAATTTTGTGGATATAGGTGTATATTTAATTATTGTCGATCTCATAATAGGTAATTTATTTAAAATCCGTAATCACCCGAAAAAATAGAAGATATGGCAACGTTGTAAATTTTCAAATTTCTAGATTAGGTCTAGAATAAATTTGTCTCTCTTATTACATAGGAGAGAGAAAGAAGGATATATCAAATGTCAAACTTCCATCTGGTCTCAATTTTCTTTGCTATTTTGTTAAGAAAAGTGTTTTTCAGTAAAATGTTGGACACTTTTCTATCCCCAATCAAGTGTGGCTTTTAGATAAACTATAATATAATGAAAATATAGTGAAATTATTACTTTATAGGGCCGAAATAAAGAAAAATTCAATGTTGAAATAATTTTCCGTTTTTCTGAAAAACGGTAAGAGACCGCCAAGAAAAAAGTAGATTCGTAATCTACGACCTCAAAATAGTGTGTATACCAATTTGGTGAAAATCGGACGATTTCCAGTTTTCCCAATAATTACCACATTTTTTATTATTTTACAGGTAGATAACACCTAAAAATTTCATAATAATGATTATTTTTTTACAGATGGATGTAAGAAGATAGCTTTTATTTTTATTGTTTCAGTTATCCAGGGTGGGGGGAGGGCAAATGCCCCCTCTTGCCTCCCCTGTCCGGCACCCATGATAGGAGGTAATGAAAAAGTAAATGATCTAGCTAGAAAAGGAGCTAACACTCCCCTAACCGGACCAGAACCGTTCTGCTTGCCTGAAGAACCTGGAAGACTCCATTCGTAACCTGGAATGGAACAGTCTGGAACAGAAGACACTCGAAGAGATTTCCCAGAACTTACAAGGGTTGTCACAGGGTTTTTAACATGACACTGTCTCCTCAATGAACAACTAGTACAGTAAATTGAAGATAAGAAACAACAGCAAATACAGATTCTGTAGGGAAAATGGAGTTACACCAGAAAATATCATCACTGAGTGCCCCGAGAGGACTAGAGGACCACAATACGTGCTATAAACTTTGGTACAACTGATATCGGAGATGGAGAACTAACCCCTATAAAACCGTCTCAGATACTGGCTTTTGCCAAAGCTCTGAGACTGTATGATGAGTTATACCCCTGGTTATACCTATAAAAATCAGTCTGAATTATTTCTAAAATTTTAAAATCCTTATCAGAAATTCTTTTAATTAATTCAGGCTATACAAAATAAACAAAAATATATTTCAACACTTCAGTTTCTAAAATAGATAATATCACTTTCTATAAAGCAGAAAAAAACACATTTATATTATCTGCACAGATTTTTCTTATTCTATATGGAATTCATTTTATTTTTTAACAATTATTTATTTTATATTATTTATCCGTGCCATTATTTTTTTAATTTTATATAAATTCCTTCACCATTTTGTCAAGAAAATTGTCTTTTAAAATATCAAAGACACTAATACATATTTCTATAAGCCTAAAAGTACTATGAATCATTTCTAATGATTAAAAACAAATATTTTGAAGTGATTTTTAACACTAATAAGCTGTAGACAAAGTTAAAACAACAAGTTTTTCAAGTCAACTCTAGCATTCTAGTTCCTGCGATTTAAGATTTAAATTTTTGATTTAAATTATTTTCTTTAAAATTAAGTAATTTTCGTGTCAATATAATGTACCGTATGACCGAAAAAAAACGGCGATGGCTATGAAATGAACATCGATGACATATAAATTTACATGTATACCATTTACAGACCCATATAAATTTACATATAAACTGACAGCGATCTTCATTTCATAGCCGCTGATTTTTCGCTGACGCCGTTTTTTTTTTTCGATCATACGGTAATTTAAATCGTTTATATCACTTAAAATGTACAAAAATGAGAAAACGGAACCAGAATTCAATGTCAGATTAGGCAAGAAACCCCCGTTTCCGTAAAGTGGCTCCAGTATCTACTAAATTCCGTGGCTTCTATATGAACTAAATGCATTCCGTAATGTGGCGCCTCAGATATGAAGCGAAGAGTATTTGAACTATTTTTTAAGATAAAATGCAGAAATCTATACTGATTAAAAAATAGAGATGTCTGTGGTTTAGAAACTTTGATGCTGTTCATTTTGAGGAAATTTTATGGGACGTAATTTTAAAGTTTCGATAGATGCACAATTTACTAATTGTTTGTTAATTTCTAGCTCTTATTAACAATAATTTAAGCATATTAAAATGCTTATTTCGCCACTTGTCCTATCAGGAAATACCCACAGAACTTTTTTGAAGAGTTGAATCCGCCACAGAGATATAGACATTTTTTACTATTTTCCGTTGGCAAATTTCGGCGAGGTCAAGCCCTAGACTTACTTGGCACG